TTGGAGTCAATGGTTGCAAACGATTCCAATGCACTTCGGTTCCTTTTAATTTTTTTAATCAGAAGAACAGATGAGAGCTTGAAATTGAAAGGATTAGTCATAAAAACATTTAAAATTTGTTTTTGATTAAATAAAAAAAATTTATTTGCATTTTTATATTCACACAAAGTTTTTCAATTTTCGCTCAACATATCAGGATATTTATCTCGCATTTGTTTTTTAATGTTTGGTTTACAAAGATCAATCGCTGTTTGCTTAGCGCGATTGAGGATTTTCGGATCGGCACCACTTTCAAAAAGAAGAAAAGCGACTTCCGACTGCTCGTCTTCTAATGCTAGATGAAATGGTGTGTTGCCTTCACGATTTTGTACGTTTACTTTTGCACCGTTTTCTATGAGAATTTTAGCAACTCCAGTGCGACCGAGAGTTGCTGCACGATGCAAAGGAGAGTCTTGCCGATCATCCAGAACATTCACATCAGCACCGTTCTTTATTAAAAGTTCCAAAATATTTTTGTAGCCCTTAGCATATTGAACAGAAGAATGTCCTCCTTGTTTCTTATGATTAACATCAGCTCCTTTAGAAATAAATAACTGAGCTAATCCGAAATGACCGCCAAGAACGCTGAGGATCAGACAAGTTGCTTGAGAATCGTCTTCAGCGTCAATTTCAGGACTGGAATTTTTTACATTCGGAAAGTCCATGGACAGTCGGAAGGTATATAATTTTCTAGTACATTATATTTCGGTAGGTTGACACCAGATGTCGCGAATGACGATTTTTATTAAATTCAAAGCATTTCAGTAGTTCCAACAAAATAACGTTAAAATAACATTATTTTAACGTTATTTTAACGTTAAAATAACATTATTTTAACGTTATTTTAACGTTAAAACGTTTTTTCCTTAGATATGCTTAAAGTAGCATTATACGCCGAGAAAAGTGAAAAAACCGTGAAGGTCCATGGACAGTCGGAAGGTCCGTGGACAGTCGGAAGGTATATAATTTTCTAGTACATTATATTTCGGTAGGTTGACACCAGATGTCGCGAATGACGATTTTTATTAAATTCAAAGCATTTCAGTAGTTCCAACAAAATAACGTTAAAATAACATTATTTTAACGTTATTTTAACGTTAAAACGTTTTTTCCTTAGATATGCTTAAAATAGCATTATACGCCAAGAAAAGTGAAAAAACCGGAAGATCCATAAATAATCGGAAGGTCCATGGATAGTCGGAAGGTCCATGGACAGTCGGAAGGTATATAATCTTCTATTACATTTTATTTCGGTAGGTTGACACCAGATGTCGCGAATGACGATTTTTATTAAATTCAAAGCATTTCAGTAGTTCCAACAAAATAACGTTAAAATAACATTATTTTAACGTTATTTTAACGTTAAAACGTTTTTTCCTTAGATATGCTTAAAGTAGCATTATACGCCGAGAAAAGTGAAAAAACCGGAAGATCCATAAACAGTCGGAAGGTCCATGGATAGTCGGAAGGTCCATGGACAGTCGGAAGGTATATAATCTTCTATTACCTTTT